ATAAATAAAAAGAATTTCAAAAAGAATTTACTCTTTACAGTGAAAGCCAGGAAGTATAATTAGATTAGACTGCAGAAACTCTTGGTTTGGGATCCGTGAAAAATGTCTGTCAGTAAGTAGGGCTCAAGGCTACACTGATAGCAATAGCCACTTACTAGCAACCTATGCACAAATTCTCGTTTTCTCTCTGGATTGCTCACCTATTCCTTTTGTCTCTTCCATTGGGCTCCTCAATTTCTTAACTGCAGAAACCTTCACTCTGAATATGAAGCTTTCGAAATGGAAGAGGATGAAGATGCAGAGAGAACCTGGGTTCTTTCTAATATATCTCCCCAACTTCAAGACAATGAAGAACAAGGTTAGACAAAAACAATTTTTGTCTGAGGTCTCTGAGATAGAAAGCACAACTGGTGCTAGAATCTGTGCTTTCTGACCCTTGACCAAAATACACTACCCATCCTCAGCAAAACCACTCCACAAACAGTACATCCCTGCACTGTGATGCATCTAGAGAGCAGGTGATGGGTGTGGTTAATAGATACCTTAAGACTGTACAGGGCTTGGGATAAAGTCAGGGAACTTCCAGATGCTAAAGGCAGCTAAGACTTACAAACAGTTCATTTCCAAACCCCAGGAAACCCATCTCAGATCCCAGAACTATCTTGAAATAACATCATCCAATATGGTGGTCACTGGTCATACATGGCCACTTATGCACTTGACTTATGACTTATGACTTCTCCACCTCAAGATATGTCATATATGGGAAAAACATGCCAGTTGTGATAATGTCACATGAGAAAGAAGATCAATATTATATAGGTTACATGCTGAAATGGCAATATTTTAATTATACTAAGTTAGAGGAGGAGCTGTCCTCCCGTTGTTCATCAATTTGCTCGAGCGGGCCCAGCAACGTCTCCATTGTGAGACTTCTTGTTACTGTGTTTGGCATATTGAATACTCTCGGTAGCTTGCCAGGCTCTCTGAGAGGGGTGGAGGAATCGAACCTGGCTCGGCCAGGTTGGCTGCGCACAAGGCAGATGCCCTACCGCTGTGCTATCACTCCAGCCCTATACTAAGTTAAACAAAAGAATTTTAGGTTCACCTCTTTCTTGTTTTCCTGTAGCTCCTTGAAAATATAAAATCACATACATGGCCTGCATACTATTTTTGTTGGCCAGCACAGCAGTAAAGCATAGCAAAGTCCCCACCCCATCCCCACCCACTCTTTGCTCATGCAAGATCCCCAAACTGGAATCTTCTATAAAACACAAAGGGAGACAAGGCATCAAGGGTGTGCTTTTGTCCAGAGGCCTGAGCCCTGAATGATAAGCCACATACCAGGGCCCCTGCAGACTATCCTGTTTTGTCCCTCACCCATACAAGACACACTCAGTTCCCTCCTGCTCAGCCTAACCCAAAGCAACCCACAAGTTAGTCAAAGTCCTATTTATTCTGGGCAGAGTTGAACAGTCTCACGTCTGTTAAGTTTTTTCCATTAAAAACAAAATTTCTCCTCTTCTTAGATTATTATTTCTGCAAACACACGTCAGGTAGGTGGAGGTTATTGGTTGTCATATGCCACGAAAGCAGTCTGTCCTAGGGACCACATTCCAATGACCTTTGAGGTTTGATGCACCTTTTCCATGCCCCTCTGCTCCAGCCCTCCAAGTGACTTTCCTAATGACCTTCACATAACTTAGCAGCTTGTTGACTGTTCCCACTACAGAAAGCACAGTTGAATGGAAGACAGGGGGATAGGTTACTATGCAATGAGAGATGCTTTTAGAAATAGTTTAACTTTCAGTTCTTATAAAAAAAAAAACCTTATGTAGGCACTACGATTTACAGAGCTGTTAATAACAGACTTTTAGGAATACAATGTTCTAACTCCCAACCCACCAGCAGTGTCAGCATCCCTCTACCAGTGACCCAATGTTTCCTCCCATCCCCACCCACTTCCTTAACAGACATGTTTTTGGGTTTAATCATTGTAGTTTGAGCCCCGTGCTTATAGCAATGTTGCCTCTAGTGATTTTGATATATATAGCCACCTGCCTCCTTACCACCAACTTATCCAAGACCTCTGACCAATGCTCCTGTGTCACCTCCTATCCACAGCTGCTTGTTTCTTCCTTTCATTTCTCTCCTTCCCTGGCATCGCACAGCGGTAGGGCGTTTGCCTTGCACGCAGCCAACATGGCCGACCCGAGTTCGATTCCTCTGCCCCTCTCGGAGAGCCTGGCAAGCTACCGAGAGTATCTCGCCTTCACGGCAGAGCCTGGCAAGCTCCCCGTGATGTATTCGATATGCCAAACACAGTAACAACAAAATCTCCAATGGAGACGTTACTGGGCCCACTCGAGCAAATCGATGAACAACGGGAGGGCCTTTACTTTACTTTACCTTTAATGTAGGAGTACTGCTATTTATTCAGCCACTGATTAAGCTGACAGAAGTGGGCATGAACTCCACTTCCCTGGCATTTTCATTTCTATAATCTAAGGCCGCGAGGTTGCCCACCTTTGATAGCTCCCAGTCCCTTGTCTTGTACCACAGATAAGTGAGAACATCCAGTAGTTGTCCTTCTTTAAATTTCACTCAGCTTTCAATTCTTAAAAAATAACTGACAGGGGCAAGGGATAGAGTTCAAATGGCTAATGTTTCTGGCATGCATGAAGTCCCTGAGATTCCCCAGCACTGCTGGGCAGAGCTCTGGTGGCCTCTGGCACCTCTCGGCCCAAACCCTGTACTGTCAGGCTCATGCAGCTGTGCTTGAACCCAAGTCAGCTTAAGACACCTGACTCCTCAAACCAGCTAGGAAAGCCCGCCCCCCCCACCAGTTTTTCAAAAACATTCAGGGCTTTTCAAGAATCTTGGAGAATTTGGAGCCTAGGTGGGTTCAGCCTGATAACCCACAGCCAACAAGAATCAATTTAGAACCAGCTCCCGCTTTGGAACATTTACACGCTCAGTACAGTTGTTCTGAAAGAGCAGGCTGCAGACCAAAAGCAGCAACAGGGAATTTGTTAGAAAAACAATTTCTAGGCCCTGCCCCAGATCTACTGACTTAGAAATTCTGGAGGTGGGGCTCAGCAATCTATGGTTTCACAAGCTTTCTAGGTGATTCTGGAACACTCAAATTTGGTTAAATTTGAGAGACTAGAGAGACTTGAGGGCTTTCTGCCTATGTTCTGAAGTCCTGAGTGTACCATTAGCAGATAGGAGGCAGGTATCTCATCTGAACCATAAACATTAAGTCAGAACTCCAGCATCTGTATCTATATCATCTGTGAATTTATTTACATAAATTACCATTTTGAGCTTAGCAAGTTCCATATATTCATTTTGTTACATTTAAGAAAGTACCCTTATTTGCTCTTAAAACTATTTTTCACTGCAAAAGGAGTTCCTGGTACAGCATTCTGCAATTAAAAGAATGAATCTATGCTAATTCTTCTATTGGTCATAATGATATATATGTATCCTCTCTCAATCTTTGGCTTCCCAAGTTAGATTAGTCATCTGTCCACATTATCCCCATAATGAAATCTGAAGCTGAAAACAAACTAAAATGAAATCCCCAGAAGGAAATAAAGTAGTTGTTTCTGGGAAAAGACATGTTGGAGTCCATTCAGAATGACCCAGTTCCTAAAGGAATAAGTAACAGAATTGAAGCTTTGCTGGCTTTTACTAAAACATTACAGGATGCCCAGTAAAATTTGATTTTCAGATACACAACAAACACGGCATGGGGCACTCTTACTCGCTGATTATCTGAAATTCAAACTTAAACATGCCCTTGATTTTATTTGGCAACTCTAGAATTGAGAATACTAGCCTCTGGGAAGATTTTGAGGTGACAAGTGTCCTCAAAAAATTTAAGGGCTATTAAGAGAACAGTGGGGCAACATAGACCCAGGACTGGAATCCAGGGATTAAAGTGTCAGGAAGAAGGGCCAGGGATTATTCCAGAAGCCTTGCATGTGTCTAACCCCAGTTTAATCCCCAGCACTATATGGTCCCCTGAGCATTTGTGGTTATGGCCCTGAAGAAGCACTAGTGGTTATGGCCCAGATAATCCCTGGTATCATGGGGGCCCTGGCAGCATTGCATTCCCAGGCCTTCGCATTGAATTCTTAGCTCAATTGCCCAAGAACAGAGACTTACTGGAAGTGCCCCTGGATCTTTCTAAGCACTGCTTGGAAGATGCTATCTAATTAATCAATTCTTTAAAGTGACAGGGCGGTCATTACTGGCTCAAAACAGATATCTGTAACTGAGGGTTTGAGCGCAAAGGTGTGAGGATGGTAAGGGCAGTCAAGGGTTGGGAGTGTTGGTTGAGAAATTAGGCTAAAAATTGCAGCCTCTTCAACAGGAAGGCCTGTGAACCACTGAACTATGTGAATCGCTATTCTTTAGAATCTTCCTGTCACATAAATTCTGCCAAGTCCTCTGGGTATATATGGACAAGCCTGAGCTGTGCACAGGGGAAAGATACATATGCAGGAATAAAACTACATATGTAGGAAGAAACCATGTTCCATGAGTTCTGAATTCAACTTATGCCCATCTCTGGCATGGCCTCATAAAGTACATCCTGTACATTTTTCTGAGCTAGTATCTTACTAGAGCATGAGGGAAATTGGAAAGCATTTTAATTACTGGGGAAACCCTTAAGCCTTTTCTTTTCTTTTTTTTTCTTTTTAGTTTTGTTTTATTAGTGAAACACCATGAGATACAGTTGTAGACTTACAAGTTGTTGTGCTTGGGTTTCAGTTATACAGTGATCGAGTACCCATCCCACCACCTGTGCCCATTCTCCACCCCCACCAATCCCAGTATCCCTCCCATCCCTCCATCCCCCATTCCACCCTGCCTCTGTGGCAGGGCACTCCCTTTTGTTCTATCTCTCCTTTTGGGTGCTGTGGTCTGCAGAATAGACTTTGAAACCCTTAAGTGTTTTCAAATATAAAACGTATAAAAAAGAAACTCACTTTTGGTTCTGCTGTCCATTTCTGGTTTTGATGGGTCTGGAGTTGGTGTAGTTGGAGGTAACTTCTTCCCAATAGTCTGAGGGGTAAAAAAGAGAACTTTATTTTCAAGCAAGACATATGCAAAAGAATAAACCAAGATCACAATGACCAAATGCTCACAAGCCAGAGACTTCAGTTTTTGTGTCATTGTAGATTGTCTGCCATTCCTAGTATGTCTGAACTTCAATGACAAATAAGTGGGAAAACTATTAGAAAAGTATCTTTCTCCTTGGAAGTATTCAGGATCTTTTATTCTTGTTCTTTCTTTATGCCTTCATTGAAATGTTGGTTTTCCTCAGCAGAGAAAATAGCTGAATTTCCCCGCATTTGAGGATATGAAACTAAATCTATGGAGACATAGCAGTAAGCCCATAGTGAGGCTTGAAAGTATCTGCAGGGGCTGGTGTGATAGCATAGTGGGTAGGGCGTTTGCCTTGCACGCGGCTGACATGGGTTCGATTTCCAGCATCCCATAGAGCCCCTCGAGCACCGCCAGGCGTAATTCCTGAATGCATGAGCCAGGAGTAACCCCTGTGCGTCACCAGGTGTGACCCCCCAAAATGGAAAAAAATAAAATTTTAAAATCTGTTTTAAAAAAGTACCTGCAGAGTAGAATGGCAGTAAGAAGGAAGTAATAAAAAAGACTGAAGGGAGGGATGGATAAAGGAATAGAGGATCAGAAGAAACAATGGACCAAAGGTAGATTAAGGACTAGCAGAAGCCAAGGTGTCAAGGACAACTGTATCCTATTGCATCTCCTTCCAGCCTTCTGAAATTCAACCTGCCTCATAGCCTCCAAGTGAAGTACGTCCATGTCCTCTAAGGGCTGGTTCAAAGGGCAGGATGGAGGACCGGTTGCTCTATCCCCCAGCTCACTTGCCAGGGTTTGAGAAAGGTCAGGGCTGTAGACTCCAGGCATCTACTTACCAGTCTACAGAAACACGCACACACATTATGAGTTTTTCTTGAGTTCATTTTCTTTCCTTCATTGAAAGCTAATTCTATTATCATCCATTTTTAATGAACCATCTAAAGAAAAAACTGGATATTGTTTCTGATTAAAACCGTTTAGAGAGACGGCGCAAAGGAACAGAGCACATGCCTTGCATACAGGAGGCCTGGATTTCATTCCTGGCACTGCACGGTACCACAAGCATCCTAAAGAGTGACCCCTAAGTACTGAGCTAGGCGTAGCCAATGAGTACTACCACGTATGGTTCAAAAACCAAAAAAAAAAAGGAAAGAAGAATAAAAGTGAAAAACAAAAAAAGAAAAAGATGGTCTGAAAATACAATGACTCAAAAAGATTAAAAAATGGGGGAACCCTCCTCCCCCATACACACAGCAACAAAACCAAACTCTGGTTCTAAAGATGAACTGTAACCACTCTTCTCCTTTAACTCCACATGATAATGCCCTAGAAAATATCTAATGATAGCAGGGAAATTGCTGTCAAACCAAGTAGCGAAGTGAGTCTTCCTCCTCAACAATGAAAGACACCATCAGTACGAATTTCAGGCACTGGAAGCGGGGAACATCTCTACTTCCTTGAACATCTGCAGAGGAATGAACCTCATCATTCAGAAACTGGCATGGTGGAGTGTTTCCTCAAATAAAACTGATTCACCCCAGTTTTTAATTTGAAAAAGTTCTTCATGCTTCAGATGTTGGAACTAACATTAAATATGAATAAATCACAGAAAGAGGATAAGATAAATCAAATCCTCAGCCGTTCATGAATTTTTAAAAACATTTGTGACAGAAAGCCTTTACATCTTGCACGGTGACATTTTTATTCAGTGCCGTAGGGCTTTCTCTAGTGGGTGAAAAATTAAACCCCAAATATTATGCCTCCCCTGAAATGCTGCTAAGTACTCAAACTAATAACATTTTCTGATTCCGAGGAAATACTAAGGAAGAAGAAAAGCTTGTTATTCGGCCATAAGGTCAAATTTGATGAAAAACTGTTTCTAGAATAATGTGAAACAATTCAGAATCAAACCAGAAGCTTCTATAGAGTCACCCACATTCCTAGTCACACTTCCAACAGCATTCTTGGAAATCTGTTTTTTCCCATTTGGGGGATGGAAATAAAGCATCACTGTTGTTCGCATAATCAGTGAAAGAAAACAAAAATAATACTATGGAATGTGCAACAGCAGAGAGGAAGTCAGGAAAATAAAACAAAATAAAATAAGATAGTAAACACTATGGCCTTTACTGACAGTTCTTTCTTGAGAGAGACAGAGACAGAGACGGAAAAAGACTCATCAGTTTTCTATTTTCAGCTAGCTGCCTTCCTTTAGAGAGCCCTTTATGTGGAGAATAGTCTTACAACTTCCATTTGTTTGGTAACAAAAGGAAATGCCATTCATTTTCCCATTTTCTCTGATGTCATACTGTACCAGTCCATCCAAGCCAAGACATCAAAAAAGACCACTAGCTAAATACACTTACTTCTGTACAGAAGGACACACTGTCCTTTTTTCTTCCTATTTCAGAAAATATGGAAAGCACCCTGCTTTCAGAGAGGCTTCCAGTGACAAGGACGAAGCTGCCACTGTTTTTATCATGCGGGGTGCTGGGCCTCAGTTCCTCCTTTCTTCTGCGCGGGCCATGACAGGTACAAAGCAGACATTCCCAAACTTGACTTACCACCAGCTTTTCAGAAAGGAAATCATCCAATAACTTCCTGGCAATCTACCTTCTTTAAGTAGACACATAGAAAGCATCTCTCAATTGCACCCAGGGTGTCTTCTCTCTGCTCTGGATTGTTCCAGCACCTTTCCGGGGGGTAGTACTGCCCACTCTGGGAAATACTGGCTAGAGTAAGGCAGGTTCTGCCCTCTCAGGTGAGTCCTTCAAGGATGGGGAACTGTCCTGGGTTTTTCTCTCATCTCTAGGATCCAGATCTAGACTAGAAGTCTAACCCCCACAGCATCACCAGCAGCACCTGGGAAGGTGTTAGTGAAGCAAATTCCCATGCCCCGCCCCAGACTTTCTCAATCAGAAACTGGGGGAGGTGCTGCCCTCTGTGAACACACCCTCCAGGGCATTGTTATGCAGGCTCAAGTCTGAGAACTACTGACCTAGATATAGGAGGAATTCCATTCAGACGAATCAAATACCAGTTCTTGGATTAACAACTCAACTACCAGTTCTCACACCTAGGTATACTGTAAAACATGTCTTGTCTGATTCCTCTTCCACCCAAGGCTTTCTACCTTTTCTGTTGTCACTGGCCTAAGAATTTGTCATTGCTACTGAAGTGTCAGATCAGAAAAGAACTAGAGTTTAGCAGAGTTGACAATGTGTTGATGTCACTGAGGGGGAAGAGGAGGGAGTGCAGATGAACTCGAGGACCTTCATTCTTTTAGGTCACTGCACTGAAAGAATGGAAGGATGGACAGCTGGATGCAGAAAGGTGGCTTTGGACAAAACTTGCAAAGCCATATCAAGCCTCTTGGAACTCAGACTATGAAGGCCATGAGGGTTGACCCCTGCCCCCCGCCCCCATCACCATGCTAACTGTCAGGGAGATCCACACCCTACTGTTCTCTCATAATCTTTCCTTTACTAGTATTTATATATAATATATATTTACATTATATATGTATATTACATATATAATATATATGTATGTAATATAGATCACTGTCACTGTATCATTATTATCCCATTGTTCATCAACCTGCTTGAGCGGGCACCAGCAAGGTCTCCATTCGTCCCTGCCCTGAGATTTTAGCAGCCTCTCTTTACTCATCCTTCCCAATGGTGCCATATTGAAGGCTCTTTTGGGGTCAGGGGAATGAGATCTGTTATTTTTACTGTTTTTAGCATATCGAATATGCCACGGGGAGCTTGCCAGGCTTTGCCGTGTAGGCGGGATACTCTTGGTAGCTTGCCGGGCTCTCCAAGAGGGATGGAGAATGTACATAAGAGAATACAAGCAAGTATGTTAAAACCAAACACATTTGCGCTGCTTTAGGTACATCAGTGGGCTAGACTGTGATGTTAAATGCTCAAAAGAATGATTTTTATTTTTATTTTTATTATTTTTTTTTTTGCTTTTTGGGTCACACCCGGCGATGCACAGGGGTTAATCCTGGCTCTACACTCAGGAACCACCCCTGGCGGTGCTCAGGGGACCATATGGGATGCTGGGAATCGAACCCTGGTCAGCTGCATGCAAGGCAAATGCCCGACCCGCTGTGCTATTGCTACATCCCCCAAAAGAATGATTTTTATAAAGGTATTCATCCTTTGAAACTGGCTTCAAATGAAAGTGAGGCTATGAAAGGAAAAAAAAAGTTGACATCATAATAATATATTATTATATTATAATTATTATATCATCTGTTATAATATATTATCTATATTATATTATATATTTATATATACTAAATATCTTATAGTGTGGAAGAATCTCACATATACAGTATATTTAGCAACCTTTGCTCCTGCCAACAACCTGCAGTGTTCCTCCATCACTATATGTACTGGATTCCATGGGATGTCAAAAGACTGCGCGGCCGCCCACCTACCAGATGGTCAGACTTCTTCATCAAGATCATGAATGATCGGTTTCAGGCTCTTCATGTTCCTAGAGCGAACAGACGCCATTGGGCTACACTAGCACGTGACAGGGACAAATGGAAACGTTACTGGCGCCTGCTCGAGCAAATTGACGATTAACAGGAAGTCAAGTGAAGTGATCAAGTGATATGTACCCAAACACCCATATCTTTCCCACTCAAGAGTATCCACTGGCCTTCCTCCAACTGCAAGAACAGATGAAGGGCAGCAAATGGACTGCTTTCCCACCAGCATCCCAGCTTCCCCTAACTCTAAAAACATCTTAGGTCCATTGGATCAAAAATGAACAGAATCCCTCAAAGTGACCACCTATCTCCAGAGTAGACAAGCTTGCCCACGGTGACAGGTCAGCTACAGTGCAGAGTTCACTGGTCAGAAAACCGAGGTATCATACGTTCACATCTCTCATCCACCTTACATGCAACAAAGAAATTATGGCTT